CCATACCTTAACCACCACAACATACCCATCTTTGTTTACCAAGTCACACTAAAATTGCCTTTAGATTCATCTTTGTTTACCTCAAAGTGAAGGATTAACGATTGCATAACAAATTACTTCTCCAAAATTTCTTACTTTTTTCCCCAATTGAAAACAAGAGTCGTGGACGAACTTCATGCTGCAGCAATGGTGGCACCAGTGTGATCTCACGTGTTTGTTTTTTCCGTTTAGATCTCAGCCATTGAATAAAATAAAAAAAATTGAAGGGGCAAAGTCGATTAGTAATTTAACAGTTCTGTTAAGGGAAGGGGGTTTTATAGATAAAAATAAAACATAGGGGAGGTCCTTAATTAAGTTTTAAATGTTAGGGGTGTTATGTGCATTTCACCTAAAGTTTAAGGGAGTTTTATGAATTTAAGCTTTAAATTAAATTAAATAGTTCTCAATCATGGATGAGGGAATGACCTAGAAATAACGTTGAGAAGTTTAGAAAATTTGTTATGATTGGCCTTTTCTGTATTTTTTGACTACTCATAGTTATCTTCCTATTAAAGATAATCTTGTTTGAGATATAATAGGGTATTAAATCTGGGTACTTTTTCCAGTGGAAATTTTAACATTGCTTCGTCAATTGGTAGCTCAATGGTAATTACAATTGATGCTTATTCTTAGGCCTTTTCTGTATTTAGGAATAGAGTGACCATTTTCTTAGCTATTTATTTATTATTACTTTTTTTCTAAAAATTTAAATTCTCAAATTTGTAATATTAAGTTATACAAAAGTATCTCGCAGTTTTATGGCATCATGCTTAAATGTGTTTTCAAGCTATGCGTGTGGAATATTGCAAACTTTGAAAGCAGCTGTTTAATTAGAATGTAATTAAAACAGAGGTATTTCTTTATTTTTGAGAGATGTTGAGGGAAAAATGTGGCACATAGTTTGAATAACATTCCACGAGGTGGAAAAAACGAAACAAAAAGACATGGAAAGGATTAGGTGAAGAAAATCAACGCAATGAAGCACCAATACCATCCAAGTCTTTCATGTATAAAGACTTACTTAATTGGCGCATGAAGCATTTCGCATCGCAGGCCACTTGCTCCGATTTAAGACTTTGAACGGTTGTCTTTATTGGATAATAGTATGTGTCTCGTTCGATGCATGGGTGTAAAATAATAAGTACTAATTTAAATAAATAATAATATATATATATATATAAGTTAAATTATAAACTTGTATTATTATTAAAGAAAAATAAATTTTAAATTAAATTATGTAATTGATGTTTTTTCAATAATAATAAAAGGTTAAATATAATAATGAATTTAAAATCCCCCTGTAACTTCCCTATAGAATGAATTTAAAAACTAAATCAATTTTTATAAAATATATTTACATTAAGAATTTTATAATTAAATTTAAAATTATGAATAAAAAGTAAAAAATTATGATAATGGATAGAATTGTGGGAGAGAAGAATTAGGGAGAAAGGCAGGTTCTGACAGCTTTAGATAATGTTATTATTATTTTTAGAGATAAGGAGAAGTTATTATTATGATAAAGAGAAGATTGTTGAATTATGAAAACAGACCTGCGTCGTCTTCATCTCATATACGGCTAGAGTCAGAGACTAGTTAAAAAAAAAAAAAAAGGGGAGAATGATGTTAAAGTCTCACATAAAGAAATTAATTATTATAAGGTCTATTGATAATTGAACTAAACTGTATTGACAACACAACCAGTTGTCAATACAATTTATTTCAGTTGTCAATAAATCTTATAGTAATTAATTTCCTTGTGTGGGACCTAATTGTAATTCTCCAAAAAAAAGATAATAAAAATAAATATTCAAAACTTAAAAATAAACTTGTTGAATATTTTTACTAGCTCATTACACTTATAAATTTACAATTGAAGGTTAAATTAAAAAATAAAGAAAATCAAAGAAAAGATAAATGGCGGATTTAGAAAAAATAAAAAAGTTTTCTTTGTAAGTCAAAATAATATATATGTGTGCGTGCGCCCTCACATATATAATATACAATTTTTTATCTTTAACTCTTCATGCTGGTGGTCCGGACCAGGGGTCTCTCCTTTTTTTATCATCCCTTTTCCTCCACTTCTCCCATCATCACCATTCAAATTTTTTTATTAAATAATTTTTTTAAATAAAAAAATTAATAAATGGTGGAGATTGGAGAAGTGGAGGGAAATGGAGGAAAAGGAAGTGGAGAGACCCCACTTCCGGTCCTTACCCGCTGTTGGTTTACTTTTTATCTTTTTAATATAATTAATCAGTTGGTTCGCCGTCATTACATCAGTGTCGCATTTTCCTTCTATTTTTGCTAAACACATCTCTCGGATACGTGTGTGGCTTTGGATAGCTGTGGCAATAAATTATAAAAAACAAGTGTGAAACACTTGACTTCCGTGGCTAGCCAGTAGCGGCCTCAACAACTTTGGTCACTCACAAAATCTTTATTTTTTAACGTCCTTAAGTGTTGTTAATCTATTTTACAGGTTCATGAATATCATTTTTTAAGCAGAAAACTGGTTCTCCATCACTGCAACTGTATGAGACTTTTTGAAAATTATAAGTATGTCGAAGGATCCCAAGGCGTGACATTGCTGATCATCAATATACTTCTTTCATCAGGTTTTTTTAAAAAAATTTTGTTTCTAAATATAAAAAGTTATTAACATATTTTTTAATGAATGGATCATTATATCCTTATTAAATTAAAAATGAAAAAATAAATACTCTCATTAATTTACTTTGAAAAAGGAGTTTCATTTTTTTATTTACAATAATTAGGGGTAAAATTACAATGTTCTATGTTTTTAACAAAAAAGTTTTAAAAAACTTCTTATATATAGGGACGGAGAAAGTAACTAACTTTTATTGGTTTATGTGATTTGATTAAAAATATCTTAATTATAAAGACAGAGAGAGTATCATATAAAATTATATTATTTATTTTTTATTAAAGTAATTTTTTGTGCCCCTGATACAGTATATAATTTAAATTAGTGAAGTAGTTTCGGTGGCAAAACAAATAAGACTGTTTTTGGGATGAAAAAGAAACAAGACATTAAAAACTTATACAGTATATGATATTAAACTTGACTTGTGAATGAATAAGACATTGCCACGGACTCCATTTTGTTTGGGCTCCTCGCGCATCGTTGATTTACTTTTATCTTTTAATATAATTAAGGAAAAGCACTTTTGGTTTTGGTTCTCAAAGTTTCACCTAATTAGCATTTTATAGTACCGTCTTTTAATCGGTATTATAATTTCACCTGAGAATAAATTATTTTACAATATATTTTGTTTTAATTACAATTTATATCACTGTAGGAACTTGTTAAGCTTTCGAATATCAGTTGAAGAAAAACTAATTTGAACCTTTAATCTCGCGGCCGATGACCAACCTTAATTACCCTTATCACCTAAACTAAGCCTACATGGTTAAATTAAATTTTCAGTATAAATATATATATATATATATATTAATGAAAGAACTCTTCGAAAATTAAATTACTAATTTTCTCATGATTTTATAATTGTGTTTATGTCGGTTTAGAAATTAAATTAAATAATTTGGAATTCCGAGATTGGGGGATGACTTCGAAATAACGTTGAGGATGGCTAGAAAATTTAAGGAAGAATGGCAATTAGGACCCATAACCTTAAATTAATGACAGTTAACCTCTTGACAAAAGTTTTTGAAAAATGAATTAAAAATATTGATCAAAATAAGTATTTAAATATATCAAATGTAACTCCTAAATTATAACAAGAATTTCTGTTTGTGACTATATACTGAATCAGTATTTATAACTCAGTTTCTAAAAAATTCTGTGGGAAGCCTAACTATTATTAATTTAATTTTTTGGGACTTAATTGCCCTTCTACCAAAATTTAATTGACGCATGAAACATTTCGAATCACACATGCTCAATATAATAAGTAGCTATACTATTTCCAACATGTTTTTTAAACATCTTTCTTTTTCATTACAATATAATAAAAAGTGGCATTTAACTTATTATACTTGAGATTTAAGTTTTAATTTCATTCAAAAATTTCATAGTCATTTTAACATCTATCCTTTCTAGTAGCCTTTTCAGATAATTTCTACATTTAATATTAAAATATTTCAAGCATTTGTACTAAAAAGTAATTCTTTTATTCTTTTTGTCCCCTTGCCACTAAAGTGACTCTCTCCCCTTTAGCTATAAATATAGGGACTTCTTCTCACCACTCATAGCAATCAGTACGCAGTACAGAGTTTAGACTTTGAAGAGTTAGTAGTTTCACATGGCGTGGTTCTCACTCTCTTCAGTTCTCCGTCTCCAACTCTTTCTCATGTGCTCCTTTTCTTCTTCTTTTGGTTTTCCATCATGCCGTCCGGACCAAGTTCTGCTTTACTCCATTTCAAGAACTCATTTCCCACTACAAAACCTGACCTTGACCCCTATTCTGAGTCTTGCTATGATTTTTCTTAATTGTTTTCTTCGTAATAACATCATTCCATGCCCCAAGAAATCATCTTGGAAAAACGGTACAAATTGTTGCTTATGGGATGGAGTCACTTGCAATCCATTAGGTCAAGTGATTAGTCTCAACCTTAATTGTAGTTGCCTTCATGGTAAAATTCTTCCCAACAATAGTCTCTTCCACCTTACCTATCTTCAGAGGCTTGACCTTAGAAGGAATGACTTTCAGGGGTCTCTATACTTATCCAACTTTTCACAGCTTGTAAATTTGACACACTTAAGCCTGGATTTTCTGGTGAAGTTCCACTTCAAATGTCTATCTAAATAAATTGTTTCACTTGATCTTTCTTATGGTGTAAGTTTTAAACCAAACACTTGGGAGAGACTCCTAAAAAATGCCACCCACATACAGGATATTCATCTAAATGGTGTGGATATGTCATCAATATCACCAAGCCATTTATTCAAGAATATCTCATCTTCTTTAATCTATCTCATGATTGCTTGTGCTGGATTGCAAGGGAATTTGGGAGATGAAATCTTTTCTTTTCCACGCCTTCAGAAGATAGATTTGGGATGTAACGAGAATCTCACAGGCTATCTTCCAAAGTCTACTTGGAGTAATTCCCTCAGGTATTTAGATCTTTGGTCATGCCAATTCACGGGAGAAATTCCGAAATCATTTTGGAACCATACACAACTTACTTATTTAGAACTCTCGGATAACGATTTGGTTGGTCAAATCTCACCATCACTTTCAAATCTTCAAAGGCTCACTAGTTTAAGTTTATCTTCAAATAATTTCAATGGTCAATTTCCATCTTCAATTTCAAAAATTAAAAATCTCGAGTATGTAGATTTGTCATATAATGGCTTCCAAGGACATCTTCCAAATGAAATAACTGGATTTTCACTTTTAAATATTTGTATTTGAACAATAACCTATTGAATGGAACAATTCCTTCTTGGTGTTTTACTCTACCATCTTTGGAGTGATTAGATATTTCTTCTAACCGATTCAAAGGTCAAATAGGTGAAATATCCTCTTATTCATTGAATTCTCTTGATGTGTCTAACAATGAGTTGTCCGGTTCAATTCCAAGGTCAATTCATTCCCTTGAAAACCCTACGCATCTAAACCTTTCTCACAACTTTCCCACAGGAAGTGTGCAGTTGCACCACTTGTCATTGAAATATATGCAGTACTTTGACTTAAGTAACAACTTGCTTCAAGGAGAGCTTACTTCTTCTATTTGTAATGCTACCTCACTTGAATTTCTAAGCTTGTCCCACAACTACTTCAACGGCACCATTCCACACTGCATCAGTAGCTCTCTTGAAATTTTGAACTTGTCTCATAACAAATTCTCAGGCACCATTCCTCTCTATACCGATAGCTCTCGCCTTGCTCTTTCTGTGATGGATTTGCAAATGAATAGATTCTCAAGCATCATATATACCTGAATCATTTGAGGCGGGCAACAATTTGAAGACCCTAAATCTCAATGGGAACTTATTGGAAGGGTCATTTCCTCGATCCTTGGTCAATTGCACAAAATTGAAAGTCTTGGATATTGGGAGAAATGGCATAGAGGATGCTTTCCCCATTGGCTTCAAGGGCTTCTAGAGTTGCAAGTACTTGTTCTTAGAGAGAATAAGTTACACGATTCAATTCCTAGTTTCATGGGTGAAACCAACCCTGCCTTCTTAAAATTGAGAGTTATGGACTTGTTCGAATAACAATTTTAGTGGCTCTTTACCTGCAACATTCTTCAAATCTTTTGAAGCTATGAAAAAAGCAAATGAAGAATATGGCTTGCATTACATGGGTTATGAAAACAACTCCATAGGACAATATCAAGACTCGATCGAGGTAATCATTAAAGGATTGGACATTCATTTAGAAAAGGTCTTGACTGTTTTTACAACTATTGATGTATCCAACATGTTTGAAGGAAAAGTTCCACAAGTTATCAGAGAGCTTGATGCATTGAAGGGACTCAATTTTTCACATCATATGCTAACTAGTGAAATTCCAAGCTCAAATGGAAATTTGAGAGTGTTGGAATCCTTGGACTTGTCATCAGACAAGCTTGCAGGAAAAATTCCTCCAGAATTGGCAAGTCTTGACTCTCTTGGATACTTGAACCTATCACAAAATAAGCTTGAAGGATGCATTCCTGTGGTACCACATTTTGACACATTCTCAAATGATTCCTTTAAAGGAAACAAGGGCTTGCATGGATTTCAACTTAACATTCCATGCCTCACTCATGAGAAAAGTCAACCCCCACTATCAAGTTCAAGTTCTGATGCTGAATTTTTTGAATTTGGATGGAAGCCTATTCTGCTAGGGTATATATGTGGAGCCTCTTTTGGAGCATCAATGTTTTGGGTTGTTGTTTTCTCAGGAAAACCCCTTCGGATTGCAAATATGGTGCATGATCTCTCAAAGAGGAGGACGAGAAGAAGAGTTAATAAGCGTCGCGCTTGGCAACTTAGTTTACTTTCTTCATGTCAAAATTGTCCTTTGCTTTTGTTGTGTTAATAATGTTCATGTTGTATGTTTTTCTTGTTATTCATGATCTTGTAATGAGTGAGTTTAGGAACATCACAATAATCATTTTTTATTCTGCTTATATATATACATATATGAGATAAGCTGAAATTGTTTTTTTTTTTTTGTTTAATTTACTGAAATGGACAGAAAATAAAATGAAGACAGTGAAATGACTAAATTAGTTCGAACCAGCACCAATGCCCCATCATTCTTCTCATACAATTGAAATGTTAACGAGTGTTTACCTTAATTGATAAAAATATTAATTTATGATTTATTTGTGACGACCAATATATTTTATCAAATTAGTACTAGTAGTAATACATATTTATCGCAAGCCAATGTTTAAGTCGCTTTCCAATTCAAAGGTGAAGGCCTTCAACTAATTGTTGCATGCATGAAAGTAAACAAATTAAATTCATACTTTAGGTTCGTCTGAGCACTTCCAAGAAAATTGTTGGTTGTCGAGGGAATGACATTATAAATTCAACTCTCTCTCGATTTGTTTAAAAAAAAAATTGAATTCCAAATACTCATGACCTTATAATTTAAGTATAAAATGATCTTTTTACTTCATTCTATTTAAATTTTTGTGGCATAATATAAGCCTTTAGCCCCAAAAGTTCTCAAACATTGACAAATTATAAATAGCATTAGGTTTAACTACCGTCAAGTGAGAAAATCAGAATCTCAAGTCACTTAAATACTGAATTTTATTTTTAATTTAGGAACAAATTTTAATAATTCTTAAGCCCTATCATATGGAATTCATACTTTATGTACATAGCCTGGAAGAAGCTTCTATCCAAGTAAACGATCAATCTTGTGTATGTGTATTTTTAACAACACTCTTCCTCTTAATTAGGAGGTAATTAATACATCTAATTAAAGTCTATTGAGAAGAATAATGATGAATCAACAAACATATGGACATGATGTTAAAGAACAAACTTGTATAATTAATCAATTCATCTGGATAATTTAGATTGATGATTCAAGCTTTATTTTTTTTTTTTCAGGATCTAAATCACTTAAAAATTTATAAATTATGGTTTTAAAAAAAAGGACTCATTGTTATATCCTCACTTTAGACGCTTTCTCTAAGCACTTGGAAGCAATATAGTTCAAGCAAACAAAAATTTAAGCTTATAAATTAAAATTTGCAAATTAATCGTCGAGTTATTGCTCATTTGGTGAATTCAAAATTTTTGCTAAACTTTGAAAAATCACAATTAAATTTAAAAAATTCATGTGAAGATGATCTAAAATTCTCTTGAATTCTCTTCAAGTCCTTTACATAATAAAAATACATTTTTAACCATCTTTCATTTCAAATAATACAGTTTATTAATTTAAAACTGCTTTGTTTTTTGGAGAAAATCTATGCCAACTTCAAAAATTCATAACTCAAGGTTTAGACATCCAAACAACTTGGTTTTGGACTTGTTAGAAAACTTTATGTATCTAATTTTCTCATAAAAATTCTCATGACCAATGAACATGGTTTACTGTATGTTATACAATGAAAAAGTAACCTTGCTCTCTAAAGAACCTAATTTGGACAGCACCAATCATGATTTCAAGGATTGATTAGAGCTCCAAATTAGTCATCATACATCACCACATGTCACTTATATATATCAAGGTCACATCATAAAATCATATAGCTCATGGAATTATTTATACATTTTTCATCTTTTATAAAAGTAATGCCATAGAAAAATAATTCTTTCTTTCACTTACCTTTACTTCGCACTTTAGCTCTTCCTTTGAAAATAATGGCTAGTTATTGGAGGTGAGACTCAAAAAAATCTCAATAGTAAACAATACCATTCAAGCATACAAGGAAAAAACGTTTATACATGACATATGCTTGCATTACTTAACTGATCATAGCGTAACAAACACATAATGATATGTTTACATGCTCAATGTTTCATACATCATACATGGACTATAGAACACTTAAAAACAGAGCTTTAAACATGCCCTCATGGTTCATATAATCAATCAAATAAATCACACATATCATCAAGCAAGCATAAATTTCAAATATGCAACGAAGGGTAAGTTCACTATTTTTTAACTTTATTATTTCTTCTTTGTTTTTCTTGCTTTCATAACTTGATCCCCCATGACTCCAATTCCTTTTCCATGACAACCATTAGCCTTAAATATATGACATAAAATATTTATTATAATTTTTAGAGCTATTAATCACATTGTCAATACATGACAACTTTCTCTTTATTTAATTATTACTCTCTTTATCTTAATTTTTCACATGAACTTTCCTTGTCATAAAAATTCTTGTACCATAGTTTCCCCACTCAATTTTCATGAGCAAGTCATTTTTAAACTCTTATTTGACAAATTCCAACTCCTTCCCCTTAAACTAGTTTTGACAATAATTATTGGTATTTGAGATCCTAGATTTTGATTGCTTCCAAGCAATTTCCATGCTTCATATTTACATGGCTCAAGATTAGGTTTTTAAATCAATCTTGAGGAAAATTGGGCAACATCTCCCCCTAACTTCAAGCTTTCCAATTTTCACAAAACTTGCTAAACTCTTATTCTATCATGCCTAAACTTCTTTTAACATCATTTCAAAGCTCTTAGTATCATCAAAATCCTAAAATTCTATCTTTACAAAGACAGGGCAGCAACACAACCTCGTGAAGATTTAATTAAATCTCAAGATACTTAGCTCAAAATAAAGCTTGTGCCTATCTCTTCCCTATGCACTAACTTGTTCTTGCTTTCTCCATTTCTTCCACATCTTTGTCACATCAAACTCTTCCTCTTGAAAACCTAAAACCATAGGAATGTTGCTCTTGATGAGATGAACAACTTTTATAAAGGGACTTTGAGGTAGAAATGTGGTTTTGATAGAGATTTTCCTTATTTTTCCCTTCTCTCTCTAAATCTCTGCAGAAGAAGCTCATGCTCTCTGTGCGCTCTTCATGACTGAAAAATGGGAAGGGAGAAGGAAGAGAAAGTGTTGTTGATTGTAGTGAAGGTTTAAACCAAATTTAATAATATTTGAATTTCAAAATATCTAATTTCTCACTTTCATTTCAATCAATTTGGACCAAGAAAATTGCCTAACTCCTTCTTCCAGTATTCTTGAAAGAGGTCAAGTGGCCTCTCATTATATTTTTAATCTTGGGTAGGAATTTTGAACATTTTCTTGGCCTAAATGAATATTGTTTCTATAATTAATTCCTTTGGAAATTCTTAATCAATAAAATTAGTATTGTTCTCCCAAATACTTCTTCTTTTCATATATTTAATTTCTTAAATCTCGTGTCCATTTTGCTCTCAAATAATGTTGGATCCATTTGGGAGAATTCAACCTTTTCTTGCAATGTAAACTTATAATTCAATTTTCTTAAGGAGCAACTTTATCCATTAATTTACTCCAATCCTAAAATAATTATTTCCAATAATTATTGAATTATTTAAGGCCTTTGCATAATTTTTAAACCATAGAATTTGGCTCAATATAAAATTATAAGCCAAAATAAGCCGTTTGACTCAATTTATTTTTGTTGAGGTATTTTTACCGCTTAAATTTCATGTAATTTTCTTGAATTTTAGGTAAATTTTAAATAGTTACACTTACATACCCAAAACTTTAAGAAATTACATTTTAACTTTAGTTGAACTTTATGCTGATGGCGTAATGTGCCTTCTTCCTCAATCATAATTCCCACATTGGCTTAACCCGAAATAAACCCGACTCAAACAAGCTTTTTTAATTAATTTTTTATTTTAAAATTACTCATTTTATTTTATAAAAAATATAAAAATATAGATATTAAAACTATGTATAGGACTCAAAAAAAATTAAAAAAATATGTAATCTTAAAAATCTAAAAATCAATATTAAAATATATTTTAAATATTATTTTAAGATATTTTATAAATTAAAAATAACAAAAATATGACAATATAAATCATTTTAATTTTTTTAAAGAAAATATCTATACTAATGCAATCAAAGTTATGATATTTTATTATAAAATAACCTAAAACTTACCGAATTAATTCATATTTATCATATTTTATATATTTTTTAAAAATATAATTTTTATTCAAGTATTTGGGCTTGGCATAAACTTTTTCAAAAACTATTATTTTGCTAAGGAATCCTAATTTTTTTCAAGTGGGTTCAAGCTAACCCGTCAAAATTAATCCAAATCACCGACTCTACTTTTATCATAATCTAAATATCTTTGCTGACACATCATTATCTTTAAATATTAATAATTATCATTTGGTTCCAAATAGGCAATTACATGTACTTAATTTTTTTCTATTTCCTTTCCTTACTTAGTTAATAGTTTAGCTATCTAAAAAATAGTCAAAGATACTCTATATAATAGTTAGCCAAACTTAAAAATCTCTATAATTTAACGAATCTTAAGCCACCATCTCCTTAAAAAGCTGTCATATATTTTGCGGCTCAATAATTTTCTTCTAGGTCTATGGAGACTATGAGATCTAATTGCAATTTTAAGATTTAACCATGATCTCACTAAGCTCTCTCTGTGTCATGCCCCAAAGACAAGTGTGACCAGTATAGAATATGTATACAAAACTCACATTCTTTAAACTTTGATCAAAGAAAATTTTAATTTGATACTTTTCGTATAAACTAAAAATCACAAACTTTTCTATAAAAATGTCAACAAAACCTCCTTTGAAATTAAAATCTCACAAAATTTCCACAACAACAATTTATAATATCAAATCAATAATATAGAGCTTCACTCCTTAATAGCAGATAGACAACCTAATATAAAGGTCAGGACCCTAACTATAATCTACATGGAGCACTTAAATCATATTTTAAAATATAATACATAAATTTCACTTTTGCAAAAGGAAAAAAAAAAAAGAAATTTCTCAAAATAGATCTCCACACAATTCAGCAATAAGCTCCTCAATAAACAATTCAATATACAAGTTCAGCTAATACCATCTAAGGTCAAAAACATCTTTCCAAATGAATAACATCATAATTTACAATTAAAGGAAATGAAAAAAAGAAATATGGGGTAAGAATAAATTTAACTAAAGTCATCATTTATAATAACCAAAGTCCATAACTCATAAATCAAATAATTTCATTTAAACATTTGAATCAAAAGCATCTTCATATAACGATAACATGATAATCAAATTCCACTTTCTAACTACCACATTCAGTCAAACAGTTAAGATCTCATTCATGAAAATCAACATGCTTAAAAAATTAATTCAAAATAAATAATTTCAAGATATTCTTTGGTAGAACTTTATTAGAATGAATAACAAGCTTTAACACAAAATCCATAAGGATATATAATGATGCACAAAACAAGCGTAAAAACACAGTCCATAAGAGTAAATAATCAACAAGAATGAACCCAATGCTCACATATACCAAGCTAGTTAAGATTTAACTATGAAGGTCAAAGGCATTATGGAACTGTCATTAACAATTTTAACAAAAGTTAAATAAAGATGAAGTTTTAACTTAAAAAATTGCAAAGGAAAAACTTTAAATTTGTACTGTCCAAGTCTTCTCAAAGGACGAGCAAATCCTTGAGCTGATCTCTGAACCTGGATGCATCCAGAGAATTATTATCTAATTGAGACCATACAAATTTAACTAAATAGTCAAAATTATAAAACTGCCATTAGTTTTCTATCTGAAATTGAGAGGATCCTTATGTGAGGAAGAGTCACCAAATCAGCCACTATTTTTTACATTATTTCCCCATCTTTTACTACAACAACAATAACAACAACAACAAGTCTTTATCCTACTAGGTGGCGTCGACTACATGAATTGCAAGATACCATTGTGCTCTATCATTTATCAAGCTTTTAGAAATATTATTAATTAAGAGATCACGTTCAGCAACTTTCAAAAATATTCTCTTAGGCCTTCCTCTACCCCTCTTAACAGAATTCAAAGTTATATGTTCCACTCTTCTCACTGGTGCCTCTCGCGGTCTTCTTTGTACATGCTCAAACCATTTCAAACGATTTTCTATCATTTTTCCTCAATAGGTGCTGCCCTCACTTTTTCGCGTACATGCTCATTTCAAATTTTATCTTTACGTGTATGTCCGCACATCCATCGTAATATTCTCATCTCTGCTACTCCAACTTTATGCTCTTACGGTCCCGTTAGAGCCCAGCATTCACTACTATATAACATAGTCGGTCTGATAGTAGTATGATAAAACTTTCCTCTAAGTTTGTTAGACACCTTATGGTCACAAATAATTCCTTTAACTTTTCTCCAATTAAACCACCCAACTTGAATCATATGTGAAATATATCCACTGATTTCACCATTATTTTGAATAATGACTCCCAAATATCTAAACTATTTCCTCATCTTTTAATTTCAACCAAATCATGGCTTGAAATATCTCACGCACTAGGCATAGTCACCCCAATGCATTTTAGCCATTTATATTATCTAAACATAGATCAAAACTTAACATACAAATCAGAAGTAAAACTTCATAGAGTGTAACATTTCAAACTCAGAACAACTCAATTCACAGAAAATACAGATACTAGTCTGGACAACATGACAAGATGAAAATTTTAATTCTCCATCTATAATTTTAGAAATCGTGCCATGTATGATGCAACCGTCAAACATTGCTTTTTTTTTGGCCCCGAGGGGGGGATTCCATACTTCATAGATAGTCATTATTTTGGTCTAAAAAAAAAGGATCCCTAATCATTATTATAAACTAAATTCAAGGAAAAATGGGATTTGGATCTTCTAAAGTAGATTGCAAGATAAACTGAAAAGATACATATTAAAAAGAGTGGGACTAACATAGTGGACCCCATCCCCTCCCCACTTCTGTGTCTAACTCTCCAACTTGACAGTCTTAAATTTCTTTTCAAAATTTAGACGATTCAAAATCCAAATCAAAGTCATCAAACAGAGACAACCTCACATGTTTTTTGGGACTATCATCTAAAAACCAGTAACATAATGCTCTACAATCAAGGAATGATCATATGATTAAAAAAAGTATATATAAAAAGATTAAGAACCTTAAACATTCTTTTTTTCCACTCAGGGTAGTGTTGCATTTTGGTCCAGAGGTCAATGACAAGTACTCCACATTCTCCAGCAATATCAGTGCATGCTCTGGCATATTCACCAGCAGCTTCATTTGTCCTCTCTGGAAGGCCCTGCTTATTCTCCACATAAGGATATCTACAGTATAGGATTTTAGAAAATCTTCCACCATAAGTAACCGTTATTTTATACATAAACATTATACATGGAGAGAAATTTGGCAATATCAGTGAGGGAGATTAAAGGGACCTATGAACCATACCTTAAGAGCGCATCTTCATCAATTGGAGGAGGTGTTATGAGGAGCACATGAGCATTAGGCCATCGCTTCTGCAATGCAAAAATAAACCTGTCAAATTAATTCTCAGCATCTATATATTGGAAAGTGAAAAGTATTAGAGAACAAGCATCCATTAAATTTTGTTTGAATTGATTCTACAAAACTAAGATATAGTAGACTTAAGATGGAGACTCTGAATCATGAGCTAAAGATTGGTTCAAATTGTAAATTAAAAAAACAATTAGGATCCTTTGAGTCAGCCAGATATTTGAGACAAAACAGAGGAATGTTCAATACAAAACACAAAAGCCAAGCTTGTTCTCTTGAGATAACAGGCAAAGTACCTTGACCACTACTAAAATATCCACCTTAGCTTAGAAGCTAACATATCACAACTAAGATCCAGAGATCATTAGGAACATGTATATATGTTGAAGTAGACCAGAGTCTTTTGCATCAACAGTCATCAAATTTCATCTCAACAACACAAGTTCATTAATTAAAAATCAAGAAGTATTTTAATTCAAGAACTTCATTTGTTTAAACTCACCCAATTTTCATTTTATTCCTCATCACTAATTACTTCTATAGGAGAACATAATCCACATTCATGTACTTCACATCAAAACAAGATAAACCAACAGAAGAGTCAGGATTTGTTGTGCCTGTGGACATCCAAAAGAGTAAATTAGCTCATCTAAATCCATTCATTCTAAAAGAAAATCATAATATGTGGGATATACAACCCATCTTTACACGTATAATCTCCCTTTACTCTATCTCTATGCGAATACTTTATATACTCAAAAAAATGAATGTAGAGATCCACATTCCCAAAAAGGTCAATAGGCCCCCTCAAAAGGCCACAAGATTACAATAATAATGCAAAAGAAATACCTAACTAGCCATCTATAGTTGAACCTATGGTCCCTCTAAGAAGAGGGCCTTTACACAAAATAGTTAGTGGGGATTTAACTGTGCAATATAAAGCATGGTAATAAATTCAAAGGCAAAAACTGATTGATTGTATCCAGCACAATGGCATAAATATATACACACACACTGAGATCACGTAAATGATGCAGTATCACAATAATCTCAGTCAAACAACTAATGACACAGTATCTCCATATATATGTATATATGTATATATATATTCCTATATTTACTATAAAATATTATTATATTGTATCTTTGACATATCTTAACATTCCCCCTCAAGTTGGAGAGTGCAAGTCTGCAATGCCCAACTTATCTATTAGGCCTTGAAGTCAATCCTTCCCAAGCGCTTTTGTCCGAACCTTGCTTGATGATATTTCTCCAGACTGATACCTTTCCCTCACAAAGTAGCCGTTCATTTCTACATGTTTGGTTCATTCATGGAATGCCGAATTCTTGTCTGTGTATTGTTTCTTGGTTGTCACAATATAGTTGCGTCACTTTGTTTTGGGTCTCTTACAACTCTCCAAGCAACCACTGAAGCCATAATACCTCACTGATTGCACACGCCATTGCCCTATATTTTGCTTCAGCGAAGGATTTTGCCACAGCTTGCTGTTTCTTGGTCCTCCACGACATTGGCAATCCTCCTAATGACATGAAGCACCCACTACAAGAGCGTCTAGTCAGGTGGCAACCCCCCCAATCTCCATCACAATAAGCTTCTAATGTGACCGTGAGATATGGTCAAACCTACAAGAGGAGATCAAGGGGGTAGGTGGATGCAAAAAAGAAATACTCAGTGGGTCAGAATTAATATCCTAGGAGTCCAAAAAAGAAGGATTAAGTCATGATGTTTTGGTAAGGTGGCTTAGATTTAGTCTCGATGCTAGACTCACCTTTTGCTTGCTTTATTTTGCTGTTACTATTTTGGTTAGCACTCAAGAATGTTTTTGTGAGTTAGACAAAAGTAAGGAGAGTGCTAGTCCCTCGAATATCAATGAGAGATCTTGTTCTCGCTGTTGTGTTACTTCCTTGTTGTAATTTTCATTTATACAGAATAAGGTTTTAGCTAGAATTAGTAAGTTTCTCATTTGTAACACTGATTTGGTTCTTATGACTTAATATTAAAAAAACCTCAAAATTTTCCTCATTCATCTCTTCTTGCATTTAAGGTTCTGTTAATAGCATTTAATTTAGAGCAGCGCTCTATCAGATTCTAGTTCCAAGTTTTCATCAGTCTTGAGCAATATTCCTTGTCCAAGAGCGCTCTTTAGATAACATAGCACCCTTTCCACTGCAACCAAATGTGTGTGTCTAGGCTCAATTGTGAACTGACTTAGTATGTTAACAGCGTAGACTACATCCGACCTGGTCACTGTCATGTATTGTAACTTCCTAACTAGCCTCCTATATCTCATGGCATCCAGTTTTGCACTTACCCACTCCAATCAAGCTCCTCGTACTCAAGTCCTGAATCACACAAAAATCAAGAAGTAAGATCGCAGCACAATTGTAATCTTTGGTCAATCTGCTAACCGAAAATAAGCAACATTTAAATTTAAGAATATATAAAACATCATCAATCCTCATTTTTGGAGAGAGCGCCACGCTTCATATGCCTTTGACAAGTATAGCCAGTCCATTTGGTATCTTCACAAGTGGTGAGTGAGAGAGATTCAAAGTCATCAAGTGGTCTTTATTACAAGTTATATGCACCGAAGTACCTGTATCGGTTATCCATGGTTCATTACCCCAAGTGTTATTTGACATGTTTGCCACTAGTTGGATTTGAGATGTCACCTTGTTTTCATTTACCTCCAAATTTAAGCACTACAAAAGCTTATTGAACTACTCCATTGTGAGACCAGGTATCTGGTTCTTTCTCCACTGACTTGTGCTGCCTTTAGTGCACCTCTCTTGTCACGCCATTCCCAATTGAATTCCTTCCAATCACTTGGATAGAAAAAAAGATCATAGCATTTATCTTCTGTGTCCCAATTTATTGTAGTGATTGCACCAAGGTCTATCCCTTCGATGCTCATTGCGATCATTGTGGACTCGAAAAGCGGCAGCCTCTGTCGCTGGTTTGTGACTCGTAGAGATGTGCCTCTGCTGTTCATCCTCAGCCACTGGAAGGTATGCCACTCCCAATTTTGGTAAAGGCCTCATACTCAATACTTGAGTCTAAATGGTTGCATAGGTGTCTTCCAAAGTCATGAGGAAGTCGTACAGGTGCTTCCTCTCCTTCATCTCCATCAACTGCTTCTGCATGTCACACTTGCACCCACCACAAGAGCATTTCAGCTATGGTGCAATAGACTCAATCTCATCCCAGTACCCTTTCAACTTGGTGAAGAATGCCAATATAGTTTGTTTGTCTTGTCGCATGTGTGCCATGGCCTTACGCAACTCGTAAGCTCTCGGTGCATTGCCCTTGCCGAACCTTTCTTCAAGATCGACCCACATCTCTTGTGCAATCTTAGCGTATCTAATGTTGCTCCTTATCTCTTTGTCTATTGTGCCTTCGAGCCATCTTTTACCATGGCACCATAGCACATCTAGTGACTCGGGTTTGGTGAATCCGCCTTCGACATCGGAAGTGTTCCATCAACGAACCCAATCTTATTTTTTGCAAACAAAGCGTTGCTCATGTCATTAACACATTCGCCGTAATTACTTTCATGTAGAAGTTCTCCAACATAGACATGACCCGAACTGTTAGAAGTATGGATGAAGTATGGTGACAACACATCCATGGCTTCATTTTTGTTGGTAGACTGTTCGGTGGTCATGTGTGCGGCTAAGAACCCTAAGCTCTCTGTAGAAGTTTTGTAGGTGCCGCTCAAAACCCTAAGCTTACCATATTTTAGTGAACCCGATGCTCTGATACCATAATAAATTCAGAGGCAAAAGCTGATTGATTGTATTCAGCACAATGGCGTAAATATGTACACACACTGAGATCACGTAAATGATGCAGTATCATGATAATACCGGTCAAACAACTGATGGCACAATATCTCGATATATATACTCCTATATTTACTATACAATATTATATTGTATCTTTGACGTATCTTAACACATGGGATCAGACTACTTTTCCAAAGGTATCATGGTTACCATAGCCCTACAAACACAAACAATCAAGGCCACAACCACTGCATGGCATGCTCAAGGAATCATTCTCTAATGGGGCCACTTCATCACTCCCACAACCATTTTTGACCAACCAACCAAAGAAACAGAAACCATACAATACCCAACCCCACTAAGGCACAAATGATTAGTCCTTTTCAGATTTGAACTCCCTTGATTAAAAAAATTAAGCCGCTCTGCTGTCTAAAAAAATTGACAGCCAAATCCAGCAAAGGGAGTTAAGCAAGCAGTGAAGGATCTAGGCTAAGATTTTCTTTCCTTCTTTTATTCTTTTTGTTTTTTTTTTTAGGGGGGGGGGGGACATACCAGTAAACAATAGACCGTTAAGAATTCATTAGATAGATGTACAACCACGTGAATTTTAACACTTGGACCATTTACTTTAGCAGGTGGGATGGTGGAGGTTGATTTTCTGAATAACCACGTTCATACCTAACAATGCTTTGTTACCAAATTAATCTCAGGGAGGTAATTTTCAGTATAAAGTTAGAAAAAACAAAAAATTAAAAAAGAAATAGACACAAATAGACTTGGATCCGCTTCACTGAAAGAGGGGGGGAGAGAGAGAGGTGTCAGAGCCAACTGACATAGTGGAGCCCACATCCTCTATTTCTCTTCTCATTGTCCCCTTAAATCACAGGATGAGATCCATGACAGTGTCTTAAAAATTGAATCAGACATCAAACAAGAGAAGTTATCTAATTACAGGTTGACAGGATGAGGTAATAAGTAAAAACAGAATAGTAAATTAACTGTAAGAGATATATATATATATATATATATATTTATATATAGATATATACATATATATAGCATAGATATATTACGAAAATCATGTCTAAACTTCAAATTTAGGACTTTTAATTAATAATCAAAGTGCAACCCAAGTAAAAGCAAGGAAATAATTAGGTCAACCGAATACAGGATCCAAAATTTGAAACTGCAGCCGAACGCTTCAAAAAGCCATTAGGAAAACCCAATGGGATCATACCAACTTCTCGTTCTTTTTCCCTACCAAACTTTCAGCTTTAAAAATTCTTAGGGATCCAAATTCATCTTTTAGCAAATTTGCACTACATTACAATCTAGAATTAGTGTTGCTGATGATAAGCATGCGATCAACTTCAACACCGAAGGGCCAAAACCCCTGTGTTATTTAAAAAAAGCTGATCGTTCCAGTTTCAACGGCTTCCAACTTTCTTATCGTAAGCATTTAAGCATGAACACTGGACTGAGAGAGGAGGGATACCTTGAAGAAGGAGACAATAGAGTGAAGGTTGTGCTTATATTCATGGAGAGGCACGCGCTGAAACGCAGAGCATCGATCGGGAAGACTAGCGTCATTAGCCCCAAAGAAAACCGTCACTGCCGCAATTGGTTCGCTTTCGCTGTGAATTCCATTCCCACCATCACCGCCTTGTTTCGCAGGGAAGACACTTTCCAAAACCTTCAGTGCCCATCTCGTATTATACCCACTGTATCCTCTTAGCACCACACCGACCTGATCATTGATCGAAACCCCAATTGGAGAAACCAAAAAAAAAAAAACACAGAGAGAGCAAAATACACAGAGAAGTTGGTCAAAACCATTACAGCGAAACTGAGAAAAAGACACAACAGACAAAACAGTCAAATAGTCTTTGGCCTCATCGCCAAGATTTCTTATATGGGTATTGATTTAAAGCTTGTTTTATGGAACTCTCGAGCTTCTAAATGCAAAACCCGAAGCATAAGTATCGAAGAGATGCAGACTCCAGAGTCACGGCTTCTTCTGATGAGGGGCTCCTCGGTCTATGCTGCATAAATAAAGCTGCTATTCCTTTTTTTTTTTTTGGGAAAAAGCTGCCATTTTTTAATGCAACCAATTAATTGCACCCAAAAGGCTCATTGTGATGCAGATGAACAGAAACAGGTCTTTCTTAGACCCCATCCAGCGATGGTGGCGCAACAAGTTTTCAAGCTTTTGTCTTTTTCTTTTTCCAACCAGAACAATTTTTCAAGCTTTTTCAGTGCCCCGATTGAGAGTGGGAAAGTGGCATGGTGTCTGTATCCCTGAAAAATATCCGAGAAAATCAATCCAGGTGAATTTATATGTAAAGGAATTAATTTGCTTCATATATTTTTTTTTACCAATTTTAATAATTTAGATCCAACATTTTTTGTGATGACGCCAAGAGGACATGCATAACAAGATTGTTTTGGGAAATGATGGGTTGTTTACTTGATTACCATGGTCTATTTAATCTTATTAAATCAAGTTTGGATTTTTTTTAATAGTTATAAAGATGTGTGGTATTGTTGGCCAAACAAAAAGATGTGAACAATTTGTGTTATTTATTGACATCATGTAACTTTAAATTTTTTTTTATGGATATCTTTTTAATTAAAGGTAGCCCAGTTTAAAACATCATTGAATATTAAAACTGAACACTTTTTCTCATAGGAGTTCGCTATATTATGAATGATTAGCTTCTTTTGATATATCTAAGTTAATTTTTTTTTATTTGGCCTAAAATTATAAGAGGTAGAGCCCAAAATACTGAATTTTTTAAGAGAAAATTGCATTCAATGACTTATGAAAAATATTATCTGCAAATAAAAACCAATAACAAGTTTTCATTTGAAAAAAAAATCATATATTTAATTTGATAATAATACATTATTTATTAATCATTTTCTATGAATAACCTTCTCCCACTTTGTTTGGAAGGGATTTTCCCAATTCTTTATGACAAAATGTAATGACATTTATTTCTACAAGTTTTGAAGTCCAAACATTTTGTTAATTGGGTCCAACAGTTCGATTGAGGCCCACTTTCTTTAATTGTAGCCCTTTTTTTTTTCCCCTTTAAAGATTTTCCTCACATAAGAAAAAAAAGGGCATGTTGTCCATGTCTTATACACACGTACATTAATTACTACTCCCTTCATTTAAAAATGTAAATTTTTTTAAAAAAATTATATATTTAAAAATATAAAATATTTTTTAATCTTTTGAGATGTAATTATTGCTTTTTTCAAAAGAGCCCCTATTAATAATAACTTTATATTTATTGTAAGATGTTTAATCGGAATAAATATAAAAAAATAAAATTAGTTTGAAAGTAAGTAACTATTTTATTAAAAGATGAAATTTGATTAAAAATACTTTATATTTTTAAATGGATGAAGTATTATTATCATTATATGTATTTATTAGTCACTTTTCCCACAGTATTCTTTGTTTCTTTATCTTATTTTTTTTAAACATAATGAGAGAAAATATTTTATCTTTAGTTTTCTCACCTCTTCATTTTATCTCATCCCATTTTCTTTACTTCAATCTTCTCTCCTGATCAATCTGTATATATTATCTATTGATATTTATTGTGTTGAGATTTGTTATATTTTAAGATTTATTTTATTGAGATTAAAGGAATGTTTTGTATTCATAAAATATTGTTAAGATATTTATTAATTATTATTATAATGATTTTTATATTGTAAGCTCTTTATATTAATAAAGGAAGGCACTTTTTATTTTCTGAATCATGATCTCTTCCCTTTTAGATAATAATGTGTCAATCAAATCCTGGGACATCTTACTTTCTCGTATGCTTTCATGGTGTGTATCAAGCAATATTCTCCCTTCAACAACACTTTTAGTTTTTTGAAACACATTTATTTTTTTAAATTTCAACTGAATAAATTTTAATAAATAATAAATCTTTATAAATAATATATTCTAATATTCCTCCTCAAATTCAAAATGCTCTTGAATATGCAATAGTTCATATTGCTTGATCTAAAGAATAAATTTTAACATATCCTAACACAATCAAAGCATCATTTTTCATGCCCCCTGTTTAGAGCCGGTAATTCAGGTCAAGCCCGACGGGTGAGTCCGGACCCGCCTGAAAAAAGTTAGGGCCGAACTTAGAAAAAATTTACTTTTTTTATATTCGAGCCTATTCATGCTGAGAAAATTCGGGCCAAGCCCGATCGGGTTCGAGCTTGGCCCAAATACCCAACCAAATACGTGAATAATTTTTTTATTTTTTCAAAATATATTAAATATAATAAATATTAATTAATTAATTAAATTTTGGGTTATTTTATACTAAAATACTATACATTTGAGTCCTATACATCATTTAAGTATCAAAAAAATATATTTTATATTTTTTATAAAAAAAATAATTAATTTAAGTGAAAAAATTAATTAAAAATGATTTAAAAAATAAAAATTCGGGTATTCGGGCTGCTTAAAACCTAAAAGAATTCAGGCCAAGCTTAGCTATTCGGGCTACTTAAAACTCAAAAGAATTCAGGTCAGGCTTAGCTATTCGGGCTTTTCAGAGAGTCGGCCCTATTTGGGTCGGGTTTATTTGGGCCGAGCCCGAATAGGCCCGGCCCGCTCGAATTTTCAGCTCTACCCCTATTGATATCATCACTTGGCTAGTTTCCGTTTTGAAGTTTGATAGTTGATGTTTTTGTTCCGCCCAAAATTGTGGTGGGTACTAGGTAGCTATGAAGTATTAATACTTCAAATTACTTCAAATATCTGTATTGGTATCATATCCAATATTAATACTCGTCGATACTTTTTCTATACGCATCCATTAGTATTGAAATATTATTTTTAAATTTTAAAAAATTTAATTTTTGATATGTATCCGATAATTTTAGATTGAAAGTTGATACTTTAAAGTCGATACTTTGAGGCTATTTTTAAGAAAGGTTAAAATACATAAAATTTTTCTAAACTTTAAAACAGTTGTATATAACCTCCCTCATTTTTAAAAGTTTAAAATTAACCTCTCTAATCTTTAATTTTATTTTTCAAAACCCCATATTGTTAATTATGTTATTTTTTCATGAGGATTAAAATGTCATTCAATGAAAAAATTTTATTAAACAAAAATATTATATTGTATAACTATTTATAATAATTTTTTTATATTTTTTGGACAGTTGAGGCATCGATAAAAAATGTTATTATCACTGTATAAAATTTTAAATATTTATGTTTATATTAGTTTTATCCATATTTTTTTGTTATCAATGGTGCATGATTTTACTATTTTAAAAAATAAATTTTTATTTGTATCTTCATGTTAGATTAATGTAATGCACATGGATAAAATACTTAAAATTTTAAATATTATCATATTTAATTAATTTATCTTTTAATACTAGAAAACTATGTACCATTGATAACAAAAAATATAAAAAAAACTAACACAAAAGTAAATATTTAAAATTTTATATGGTGACAATAACATTTGTTTTGGCTATTATCAATGTTTTAACTATTCAAAAAATATAAAAAATTTATTATAAATAGTTATACAATATAATATTTTGTTTAATGACATTTTTTAGTTAAATGACATTTTAACCCTCATAAAAAATAATATAATTAATAATAGGGGGTTCTGCAAAATAAAATTAAAGGTTAGGAGAGTTAATTTTAAACTTTTAAAGGTGAGAGGGGTTATATGCAATGGTTTCAAAGCTCAAGGGGTTTTATGCATTTTAGCCCTTAAGAAATTAAATTTTATTAAATATTGTGACATTTTTTTTTGTTTCTAATATATTTCTATGGTTTGCTTTTAAAGTTAAAGATTTCATTTTCCATAAAAAAAGTAAGTTTTATATATAATAAAAAGATAAAAATTACTCTCTCCATTCAAAAATATAAGACATTTTTTAAAGAGTTAGGTGTTTAAAAATGTAAGACCTTTTTAGTCTTTCAATGTATAATCATTGCACTTTTTTCGTAAGTGCCCCTATTGATGAATGACTTTATATTTATTATAGGATATTTAATAGGGATAAATATAAAAAGATAGGATTAATTTGAAAGTAGATAACTACTTTATTGGGAGTGAGATTCAGTTAAAAATGTTTTACATTTTTAAATAGAGAAAGTATATTTTTTTAATTAGAAAAACATAGGAATATAATTTTTTGGCATATAAAACCCAAATAGGGAACCATTAGCAAAAGCTAGGCGGCAGGCAATTAGGAAGATATGGAATAAAAGTATAATTAATGATTATATATTGTTTGACATTATGATAAAGAACTCTGTATGTTAGGTTGGATATTTTTTAAATTGAAAATATATTTTTATAATTTTTTTATAAATATATTTACATGTATAAAAAATGTACAGTATCTTATATTTTTTAAAAATAAAAGTATTGACTTAGCCGATAACAACATAGCTGGGTAGAACCTAAATGCTATGAATTTTTTTATGGAAAATGCAATGATATTTAGTTCATGATTTTTGAATCCTAAGTATTTTCTAAATTGGGTCTAACATTCATCACAATTAAGGCCAACATTTTTTTTTTATGGTAACAGGCCTACATTCTTCTTCGGCAAAAAAAGACTAACGATTGCATTCTTTAACAGTAGCCCACATATCTTCTCCCCAGAGATTTTTCTCTAATGAGAAAAAGAGAGGCCAGTTGTCCATACCTTATCCATTTCACATGGATATTACCATTCTTATGAATTTCTTCTTTTTTTTTTAGTCTTTTTTTTCCCCCAAACATAATGAGAGAAGATATTTTATATTTGTTTTCTTTTCTTTACATTTTCTCTCCTAATCAATCAAATCATAAATTTTCATGCCACCCGTTAGTAACATTATTATTTTCAATTTGCATTTCA